GTCCTCAGGTCCTTGGCCTAATCCCTTTAGCCATAGTCCTCATTCATGAGGGCTTTTTGAAGGGCCCGGACCTCATATTGCCAAATATCCTGGGGCTCCCCGCGCGCCCTCGACGCTCACCCGAGCGTTCCCGCATGACCCTTTCGGGGCCAATAGGGCCCAAAGATGGGCTAACACGGCCCCAAGAGGCCGCCCACACGGACCAAGGGTGCCCAGAATCGCCGCACGATCGGACGAAGACGCCCATGATGGCCCCAAGATGGGATTGCAATGTGCTCCTGTAACTTTTGGTTGGATCGCGTGTTACTTCGAAGAGCCGGAAAAAACTGAGCACGCTGGAAAAACCGAACAAAAAAACCAGAAAAGCTGAAAACGCAACAAAAACTGGAAAACATAACGTTGTTCCGAACAAAAAAACCAGAAAAGCTGAAAACGCAACAAAAACTGGAAAACATAACGTTGTTCAAAAGGTCCGTGTTTTGGAAAAACTCTGGCCCAAAGGGCGCATGCTGTTCTCAGCCCTGTTCTTCACGGACCGTGCCAACGTGCCCTCATCCTCGTGGCGGCCTTCATCGGACAGACCCCTCCACACTTCTTATGTTGGGGGGCGGTGGTGCACGAGGTCCCGCGCAGCGAATTATAGCTTGCTTGCGCACGTACGCCGTAGCCTCCGGCGTGCCCTTCAAACAACCGCTCTGCGAGGCTCTCACCGCCGCCTTCACGGTCGCTCTCAGTCCCGCTGGTTGCCCCAGCCTGTCCTCGGAGATGGCCTTCGCCAGCCATTCTGTCTTGTTGGCTCGGGCCGCTGCCGCGCCCACTTCCCCCGCCGGCCCAGCGGTGTCAGCCCGCCAGGCTGCCCCAGCGGACCCGCCACAGGGCCCCCCCTGCTCCTGCGGCCCCCCCGGGGGGGCCCGCCCGCCGCGCTGCCTCTGGCACCAGCCGCGGGTCAAGCGGCAGAGTCTGAGTGGGGAGTTGACGTCGTGCCGCACCGCCGCGCCCGCGCGTGCCAAGCCAGCGCCTGCCGCGGGCACTTCTCCAGAGGCGACCTTTTCGCGCGCACCGCACATCCCGCACCTTGGCACACAGGAATCATGTCTGCCCGAGTGGCGCGGAGGGCGGCTTCGGCCCCTTTGACCTGGTCCAGGGGAACTCTTTCCTTCCGTAGAGGCCTCCTAGATGGGGTCCGAGTAGATGGGGTCGGAGGATCTCGCCGCATCGCCAATGCATCGCGATGCATCGGCGATGCACCGGCGATGCATCGGCGACGTCGGCGACGCATCGGCGACGTCATCGGGCTCCGCATCGAGCCGCATCGGCGATGCATCGGCGATGCGGCGCGATCCTCCGACCCCATCTACTCCGACCCCATCTAGGAGGCCTAGATTCCGCCCGAGGCCCAGGCGAAACTGCATCAGTCCTGTGACCAACCGGGGCGCCCAACGCGGGCGGAGCACCCTGCCCAGCCGCGCGCTGGACGCCTGCGCCGCCGCACGGCCCACCGGGCGGAGGCGCCGCGCCTCATGAGGCCCCGCGAGAGGACGGCGCCGACGACGGCGCGCGGCTGCCCGGTCCTGATGCCGACGGCGACTCGGCCCAGACGCTCCTCAACTTTGGATGATGGGCCTGTTTTCCACCACCACCACCATAAGTTGGAGGGGGAGGGGGTCCTCCTCCTCCACCTCCTCCTCCTCTTCCTCCTCCTCCTCCTCGTCCTCCTCCTCGTCCTCCTCCTTCCCACCTCCAAGTTATGGTGGTGGTGGTGGAAAACAGGCCCATCACTGGTGGGGCGGCGTGTCGTACGACGACTTAGCGACGGACGTTCAGACCGTCGGGTCCGTCCCGGAACCGCTGGCGCACTCCCTGGCCGTGCTCCGATGGGGCTGCTGCAACCGCCTTCCACGACGCACAGCGGGCCGGGGATCCCGCCGCAGCCAGCAGGGCAAGCGGCTATTGTTTTTTCCTGGCAGGGTTGGCCTTCTGGGGCCTCTTGGATGCCTCTTAGGGGGCCCCCTTGGGGCATCTCGGGGCTTCTTGGGAGCCTCTTGGGGCATCCTGGGGGCCTGTTGGGGCCAAGGCTCGAAATTTGAACTTGGTTTTCTTCCTATGGGACCCCTCTTGGGCCTGTCCTGGGCCTCTTGGGCATTCGGGGGCCTCCTGTGCAGTCTTGGGTCCTTCTGAGGCCGTCCTGGGTCTCTCTTGGGGGCCTCCTGAGTGGTCTTGAGAGCCTCCTGGGCCGTCGTCGACGCTGTGTAAGCCCGAGAGACGAATCTGCTAAACATGATCGACCGACGAACCCGGAAAGGAATCTAGACATGTAAGGCATGGCAACGTTTCAAAGACACCTGATTGGGCGACGGGCCAACGCAATGCCGAGTGTATCGATCTTGATGTACCCTGCCCTGGGCTGTGCTGTGCTGCACCGTGCTGAGTTGTGCTGATTGTGGATCGAGTCCTCCTTTGCATCCGAGTCCTGACCGAACTGATCTGGATCTTAAGGTCGAGCTGCCTGAACACATAGTAGCTCCCCCAGAGCTAATTGACAGGGGGACATGCCAGGAGGACGCGCCGCGGAACGTTCCAAGGGACGCGCCAGGCGACGTGCCAAGGGACGTGCCACGAAGACGCACCGCGGGACGTGCCGAGGGGACGCGCTACGGAACGTGCCAATGGACGTGCCACGGGACGTGCCAGGGGACGCGCCGCGCGACGTGCCAGGGGGACTACTCGCCACGGAACGTGCCAAGGAACGTGCCAGGTTGCAATGCTGAGTGTACCGATCTTGATGTACCGTGCCGAAATCTGTGCTGCGCTGCGCCGTGCTGAATTGCGATGTGCCATGCCGCGATTGTGCTCTATAGCGTTGTGGATCGAGTCCTCCTTTGCATCCGAGTCCTGACCGAACTGATCTGGATCTTAAGCTTGAGCTGCCTGAACACATAGTAGCTCCCCCAGAGCTAATTGACAGGGGGACATGCCAGGAGGACGCGCCGCGGAACGTCTCAAGGGACGCGCCAGGCGACGTGCCAAGGGACGTGCCACGAAGACGCACCGCGGGACGTGCCGAGGGGACGCGCTACGGAACGTGCTGGGGACAAGCGTTTCGCTCGAGACATCCTGTCAAAATCCTCATGCTAGACGTCCGCGTGAAACCAAGGGTCTCGCTCGAGACATCCTCAACAAATCCTGGCGCTAGACCTCTGCCTGGGCAACCTGGAGGCGTGAAACCAAGCGTCTCGCTCGAGAAATCCTTAAGACCTCGGCACGTGAAAACAAGCATTTCACTTCAGAGATCCTCTGAATTCTGGTCCCCAGGAGAGGACAACCTATAACACAAAACAACGTTTCGCTCGAGACATCCTCAAACAACTCTGAATAACAGCGTTTCGCTGGGGACATCGTCAAAGTTTAATTCGCCTGCCCACCTCGACCTCGATATGCATCGCAGAAGAAATTCGCCGGCCCACCTCAAATGTAACCCTGAGGTAAACCAACTAAAAGAGAACCCTGGGCTTATGCCCTTTCCGGGAAAATGAATGAACCGATGTTTGCTTCTTGGGGCCATCTTGGGGGCCTCTTGAGGCTTCTTGGATCCCTCGTGGGGCGCTTTTGTAGGCCTTGGGGCCATCTGGTGCCGTCTTGGAGCGCTCGTGGGGCGTGTTTGGGGGCCTTGAGGCCAATCGTAGGCTGTCTTGGATGGTCTTGAAAGATTATGGGGCGTTCTGAGACCTCTCGGGGCCGCCCGGAGAATGCCCCGAGGCGGGGGGGCACCGACGTACAAGGGAGGGGCCGGCCCAGGGCCCTGGGCCAGGGATCTTCTTTTTTATGTATACGTAGATGTGTATGCATATGTATACGGATTGGTACATGGATAGTTGTATAGGCATATAAATAGGTGTATCTCCATACAAATATATATATATATATATATATATATATATAGAAATAGCTACTGACGTCGCTGATTGGATCTCGGCCAGCAGCCAGTGCTTGAAGCCAGAAGCTCCTGGCCTTGCCAACAACATACGTTGGCCAGTATACGGTGTATTACCTTGGCGTGCCGCAGCGGGTCCTAGTACAGCGCGCCGTCGCTGATTCAATCGGGACCTGCTGCTTCCTGTTCGGGCCAGCCTCATAAACTACAGTCTACACCCAGCAAGGAGGGAGTCGCACTCGACGTGAAGTGGTGCAACAGCGGCTGGCAATGGACTCGGCATGCAATAGCGCGTCCTCGATCTGGACGTCGTGGTCCAGCACCCCTTTCTCGTCCTCCTTCTGCTCCTCCTGCTCCTCAACCTGCTCGTTTTCCTCCTCCTCCTCCTCCTCCTCCTCCACTTCCTCCTCCTCCTCCACAATCCTCTTCCCCATTGTTCGTCATGCTTATCTTTCTCCCAACCTAGCCTTGCATCATACTTTCCTTCAAATAATCTTTCTTGCAATTTCGACAGTGGGACGCATAGCCGTTGGCAAGCCTAGACAAGACAAGACAAGACAAGACAAGAGCCCGAGTCGAAGCTCTACGATGGTGCAGCGGAAAGGCGCCGGGGCGCCGCTCAGAAGCCGGGGTCGGGAAATGGCAGCCGGGTCGGAAAAGTGGGAGTGGGTGACGGAGCCGCAGTCGGAAAAAAAGAACCGCACGTACTGCCACAGTCGGCTACATTTGACCAGAGTCGGGACCACCGTCGGAAAGATGGAAATCGGAATCGGGGCCAGAATCGGGGCCGTCGGCAAGCCGAATGGGTTAGAAACACGTACCCGTTACAACATGAGACACGGCTGCGTTCGTATACCACACCTGATGTGTCACGATTGTACAAACTTGCAAACTTCCTGTTGGCTGCCAAACAAGAGCCGGAAACGCATCCAAGATCCAAGATCAAGAGCACGAAACAAATGAAACCGAACTCTACACCGAACAAATACTGACGCTGCCCAATCAACGCGCCCAAACGTGACCTCTCGTTTGTCCGTGAACCGAACAGTGAACTGCCCCCTCCGAACTCCTGCATTGCGCGCGGCTGTCCTCGTCGACGTCCCGGCCTGCATAATGCACATAGAAGCAGTTGCTGCGCTTGCAGCGCCGCCCGAATGTGCAGATGACGCTCTGCGGATTGTCCTTTAGAGACGCAGCCGTACCGTGTTACTTGCAACGTTGCATGATTGCGAGGCCTATGAGTTGTGAAACAAGTTCAATTCCAAACATCATCAAGATACGAGACCTATGCTGTCAACTTCCACGCACATGCTCAGACATGCATGCTGCACCGGCCGCATAGTATACTGAGGAGTGGTGCTTGCATCCGTGCCGTCGCCCTCTCACTCTCTCTCTATATATATGTATATATCATGACGGCCAAGCTTCCGCAATAGTCAACATGGTTTGACGCAATGAAGGATGCCATTGGCACAGAAGACTCAAACATTAGTAAGAAAAACACTTTACAAACAACACAATCAATGGCATAAAACTTGCCTCGGCGGCTTCCGCTGGACGAAGTCACGGCAACGAAATATCAGAGGGTGCGACACAACAACCCTCGCAAACACTTCCTCAATGTACAAATTGTTTCCGCACAAGCCGTCTGCAACCGCATGCTGCGCCAAGGGGAGCACGAACATATTGCCGTCACACATCGATCCATGGGGGGCACCGCCAAAAAAGAGTCGGCCCGCTTATGCGCTCGCACCTCGGAGATGTTCTCCCTTCCGGGCACTGGTTCATGACTTCCCCCATGGACTCCTCCCGAGCTTCATCCATCGTCATTCTGACAGGTCAAACTCTTCGAGCTGGGGATGGCCGTGGACACAAGGTGCTTGCCGAAGGCTTGCAGACAAGGGGAAGGTGACCGTCAGAACCAGAAAGGTGGACTCGTGCCCACGTGGCAGAACTCTGGCCTCAAGAGGCCCTTTGTGGCGCCGCCAGTGCCACCCCAGAACTCTCGGCAAAGCGCAGCTAATGGGCAGCCGCAGCCAAGGGCCGCTGGCTGCGAACTCTGTCGGCGCAGGAAAGCAGGAAGGGGGACCGCAGGCAAGGCAGAACCATGGAGGGAGTCCCGGAAGCAGGGGCAGACCGATGGGACTGCGCGGAGCCCCACCGCTAAGAAGCTTGCAGCGCAGAACGGCGTGAAGTCCTCGATGTCGCGCCCATCCGGGTGCGTGTTGCTGCAGTCCACGCTCTGGCACACAACAAACAAGTATTCACGTGAGATGAGTCTCGATGGTGGTAAAGGGTGCGACCTGCCTTCGCCACTTCGCAAACAGTAGCGGAAAACGCCCACACACACATGCACCAGATCAGAAAACTCGAGCGAACAGACTCACGAGCAAGCTTCCACTCCAATACCTACGCATGCGAACCCTGATAACTCCACAACGCGAACACATGTGAGAAGAGCGCCGAGGAAGAGGAGAACAGGACGGGAAGTGCTGATGTCAACGTTTGCAAGACAGCTGCAGATCTCCTCGTGAACTTCCCTGGAGACCAAACAGGCGGCGGCGGGCCTTGCAGGTGCGCCCGAACCGGCAGATTTTGCCGGAAGTGCCCCCGACCTCCAGGGCGGCTGCCGCCCGAGCCGCGACAGGCCAGCGCCAGGGAGAGCGAAGTGGAGTGAGAAGGGGGGGGGGGGCGAGGGGAGGAGAAGGCGAGAAAGGCGGGAGACATCAGGGAGGGAGGGTGGGCATGAGAAGGGGGGGGGGAGAGAAGGGAGAGCAGGATACGGGGATAGGGGGAAGGTTGGATGGAGGGTGAGAGGCGAAGGGGACAGATGACAAAGAGGGGCCCAGCGCCAGGGAGGGGACGAAAAGGTCAACCAGCGCCAGGACTGGTGAGGCGAACCGGGGGGGGCGAGGGAGAGGGGTCGCGTGCTTGTCGTCAATACGGGGTTGTAATTCGTCTGATGTCCCTCGTATCCCTCGCAGCAGCGCACAAGCACGCATCCGAAGATGGTGCAGAGACCGACGGGCCACCCCCCACCGGAGTGGGGAGAAGAATCTGGAAACTCTCCCCATGAGGTTGCAGAGAGGCTGAGTAGTACAGTACAGTATCAGGCAGAAAATGAGCATCAGGCAGTGATGTTGCGGCAGTAGGCGCCTGAGGCGCCTCAGGTCCCATCCTCCAACGCGCTGGGGAAGTGCTTGCGATTAAATGATAAAACTGAACGTTGTGAGGCGCTTTGGCCGTTCTTTCCTCGGCCCTGGACGCGTTGGCCCTGAGCCCCTGCGCCGATGGTAAGTGGAGGTCATGGCAACCACCGGATTTTCGCTCACACCCCCTGCATCTGACAAGCCTGCAGGAACCAGGCGATCACCGGCACGCGCCCACACCCGAGAGAAGATAACAACCCACTCAACGCATGCCAAGTCTCCAGTCAAAGAGACAGCAGTCCCCAAACTTATGCCCAATCGACTCGAAGGTAGAAGTCGGGCCCACTCACGCCCGACGCACTACAGGGTGCCAAACTACAGGTTGTAGAATTCAGGCCAAGGGACAACCCAAGCCAACCAACTTCACCAGGCACAATCCCTGATCGGACAATCGTGTCGTAGCTGGCCCAATCTAGCAACTTGTAGTATTCGTCATACAAAAAATTGGACGGCTTCGCACGTGGGAGGCCAATGTGCAGAAATCATTTGTGCCATGCAAGTGCATACAATCTGGGGCGTCGTGGCTGTACAACACAAAACCGTGATCCTCGAGGTATTACATGCGCCATCGGCAGTGACCACTCGCCGACAATCCCTCGCCTCGCTTGGCTGCGGCACCAACGGCACCGCCGCAGCAGCAAAGGCAACCTCGCACCCCTCGCGCGAGCTGCGCGTGCGTGGTGCTGGCCCAACCCTGATCATTGGATACTGGAATTTGCCAGTCGCGACCAGCGAGATCGGTCGCTACAGATGCTGCTTCAAATTTCGGTATCGGTCGCGACCGATTTGCTTCAAAATCGCTCGCGACCGATCGGTCGCGATCGGCAGCGACCAATCGCGACCGATTTTGGGATCAAACGCGATCGGCCGCGTCCGATTTGGAGCGCCGATCGGTCGCTACCGGTCGCGACCGAAAACACCTTGTACCCAATGAGCTGGAAATTGCTCCAGGCAGCGTTCAGGTAGGACTTGTGGCCATTTCCCCATCGGGCTTGCGCAGAAAGCCTGAATCGCACCTCCTCCGTCTGTGTTTGTATCATGCCACGCATGCGGCGGCGCAGGATAAATTAAAGGGAAATTAGGACACACAAATCAATACACACAAATAAAAATAGTCCCCATATTTTCCCATATTTTCTGGGTTTCTGTCTTCCCCCCCACTTCCCATATTTTCCCATATTTTCCTGGGGATCGAGGATTAATTGTGTCTGTGTGTTTTTTCCCTTCCTGAGAAATGTCCGAACCTTGCGGCTCGGCGACGCATACCGAATAGCTGGAGAATGAAGAATGCGTGCGTGCACGCGTGTGTGCGCGTGCTGGCGCGCGTCTTTCCCTCTCCTGTCCGACGCCTTCTGATTATCAATAGTGAGTGCGGGTTGCTGTCTGTAGCTGGCGGCTTGCAATCCATCGATCGACAAATCCAAGCATTGGTCACGCACGTCGACGTCTCCCTTCCCAGACCTTGGTTCGGAGTTTTCTTCGTCCGATCCTCGGTACTCCGGCATCGCCGCATCAAGTTCGCATTCCGACGCCAACTCTGCCCCCCCACCCGATAGCACTCCTGCGTTGCGACCCAGGGCCCCTCGAGATCGCTGGCGGGCTCGTCGTCCGCGCCCTGCGCGCTGCTGTTTTAGCCTAGTGCACTATTGCGTTTGAAAAATGCACGACTGCATCCACGCGAAGCTATTGCGTCCAGACCGCGCACACTCATCCATGCAAAGACTTCCTGCAAGTACTGTTGCACCTGCGCCATCCCCCCCTACTCCAGCTTAGAGCCACTTCGCTACGAGATGTTCCCAAACATTCGCGTTGCTGTTGATTTTTGAACAAAGAAAATGGCGGCGGACGCCGCGCAATCCGCGGCGCCTAAGGGGAGCCACGCCCGCATCAATCGACGAGCCTGTAGAACCCCCGCAGGGGGAGTGCTGCATATTGGCCGAGCGGGTAAACATCGCCACATCCAACGTAAACGTCACCAAATGCAGGGGGCCCCTGCTATTCGCCTTGTACTTCAACATGACGCCTGCCGCGCGCACTCGGAGCGACGCACGCGCCATGGTGGCCCCCTTCGGCCTCGACCGATATTCCGCGACCGCGGGGGAAGACAAGTGCGGGAACCGCGCGTGCGTGCACTCGGGCAACAGGGCCCGCTCCCACGGGGATTCTCAGAAACGCCATGAAACAACGTAGAATGTTCAATTCGCCAGCCGGTTCTCTGGGCGACACATATGGGGCAACATGCATGCACTGCGTGCGGGAAGCTGTCTGACGCACTGTGCCGCGCGCTGGGTGGGGGCGGGGTTTCGCGCGCGAGGCTGGCGAGGCGGCGGAGGCAGTCGGCGAGGCGCTGCGCGTGAAAACTGGGTTCGAGAAGGCCATGGGACGGCAGCTTAACCAGGGTAAGAGCGCGATGTCCGCGAACGCGGCCGAGGTCAGGCGATGACCAGCGGCGCACTCGCCGATCGCAGCCGGCACTGGCTTGAGGGACCTCGATCTCGAGGATGTCGCAAACGCCAGACGGCGCCGCCGCGGCGCGGTCGCTCCTGCGCGGGCCCTGGCCGTTTCGCCCGCGTCGGCCGCCTGCCCGTGACCTTCCGGCAGCCTTGCCTGATGGGCGCCGCGGCTGGCACTGCAGCCGGCACGTGCGGTGCCGCGTGCGGGGGGCCTCTAGCGCGCGAGCGAGCTGGCCTCAACGCTGCCGCCCGGCACGCCATCTGTCGAAGGGGCCTCCGCGCGGCGGCAGAGGTGGTCTTCGGCGTGCTCCGCCCGAGTTGGCGCCTCTCAACCCCGCTGCAGCGGCTGCGCTGGCGCTTGGCTGGCAGCTGGCCAAGGCGCTCAAGCGCGGACGATTCCCCCAGAAACTCTGGCGGGGCGCTGAGGGTGCCATTACAGCTGGCCGCGGTCGTGGCCAGGGCCCCCATCGCGGCCGCCGCGCGCAGCGCGGCGGAGCTACAACTCGGCTTCGACGTGGAGAGCCCAGCAGGGTGGCGGCCTGCCGAGCGCCCGCTGCAGGACACGCGCAGCGTGCTCCTCGCGGCCTGGGCTCGGCGAGAGAGGCCCGCGCGCTTGCGGCCCGGCGCGCGGACTTCGCGCGCGTCGGCGCTGGCGGTGGGCCACGCGACGCCTGCTAGAGTGGCCCGCTTGCGCTAGACGCGGCAGGCGCGCTACAGGCGGCGCTGACGGGGAACGTGATCACCGAGTCGGTGGCGGCCAAGCGGGGCAGACCAGTGCGCTGCCCGCGCTGCGGCGCCGAAAGGGAGGACAGGCAGGGCCGCTTCTGGGACTGCCCGCGATGCGCTGAGGTCCGTAATCCACTCTGGTCTCCGGAGGCTTCACGCCCGCTGCCCTCCTACAGCGCCTGCCAGCTGGGGTGGCTAACTCCGGCGCCCTCCCGCTGGACGCTCGGCTGGCTACGCTGGCCGCCGCGGCCTCGGCAGCGCTGCCGGCGCCAGCGCTGCTGGCGCCAGCGCTGCCCGCCCCCGTGCTGCCCCTGGGCGCACCACGGCGCTGTCGCACCTGGACGGAAGGGGCTCGCGAGCACCCGACCGACCCGCTCCTGGCGCGCGCCGGCTGGGGCTTGCGGCTGGAACGTCCTGGCGGGGCGCCCCTGGCAGAGCACTCTTGGCCAGTCGACGGCTTGCAGACGGCGCAAAGGGCTGAGCTGACTGCGGCGCTGCACGCGGTCAGCCTAGCCGGCGCTCCCATGGATATCATCACCGACTCGCAAAGCGTGCGGAATTGGAGTGGTAGCCCTCCTGAACGGAGCCTCGCCGCAGGAATGGTCGCTCAGCGACCTGTGGGCACTGTTGGTGCCGTTTTGCCAGTTGGGTTTCGCCGTCGCGCGGCGGGCAGGAAGCCACCTCGACGCGCGGGAAGCGGCGGAGCGAGGGGTCTCCGAGGAGGACAGGCGCGGCAACGCCCAGGCGGCCACGGCCCGTCTCCCCGCGGCGGGGCTCCTGCAGGCGCGCGGGGCCCAGCTGCACGCGCTGACAATGATGCAAACGATGCTCGCCGAGGTCAGGCTCGCGGCCGTGAATGCTTGGGACCCCGCGTGCAACGGCGCCGGGCAACAGCTGGGCCCCGCCCTCGCCGGCGGCCCCGCAGGCGTGCCCCCCGAGAAGCGGACGACGCGGCCGTGGCCGCCGCGGTCGCCCCTCGCGGCCACCAGGGCCGCGCGGCCGCCGCGCCACGGCATGGTGGCGCCGCAGCGGCGCAGGCGCTGTTCTCCGGCAGCGCCTGGGAAGCGCACGTGGCCTCGCAGGGGCCTGGATGGGTCGCCTGTCTCCGCTGCGGGTGCTGGGCGCCGCGGTGGCAGGCCCTCGCGAGCCGCCCATGTGGCGGGCGGGTGCGGGTCCTCCCGCCACGCGCGGCCGCGCTGCTGCTCCTGCCGGCGGTGCGCGCGGGTGGTGCCGATGCCGTGTGGAGGGCCGCCCTGCGCGAGCGCCTCGTTGAGCGGCCAGGGGCTCCAGACTAATTCGCGCATCGGCGAATTCGCCGGAGTGCGCGTCGGGGCGCGCTCCTCACCCGCCCTCCCTGACTCCCCCTCCCCCCCCTCCGTGCCACTGGGCTCCTTCGCGATCGTACAGAGCGCGCCTGCGCGCGCCCCAAAACTTCGCATCTTGAGGGGCCTGAGGATCCCTTGTAACCATCCCACCAAGGGGGGAGTCTACCTTGAGCCCTGTAACATGACTTGTACGTGAAATACGATGGGCTGCTCTCGAATGAAGCATCCAGTCCCAGCGGAAACATACACACCATCCACCCCTTCCCTTGCACCACCCTTCCCCTCCCTCCCAGTGGGACCATATTGTCCCCCGTTCCCGTGCCCTGCCCCCGCCTCATACCACGATTACAACAAATGGAAAACGCCCCCCAAAAAACAGACAGGAAGACACAGAGAGAGAGAGAGAGAGCAATAAAAAACAAAAACAAGAGAGAGAGAGAGAGACAGAGACAGAGACAGTGACAGAACATGAGAGGATGGGAGCGGTGGCGCTCGATGGACTCACCGGAACAAACTAGGGTAACACAAAAATACTGGTACCGCAACTCCCCAGACCTATCCCAAGGTGCGTCCTGACCAAAATCTCGAAGCGAATCCAGCCGTGGCGACGAAGGACTCCCAAAAATCCCCCAAAAGCGAAAACGAGGGTAGGGGGATTGGTATCTCTGTCTCCTCCGAAGAGCGCTGGCGGTCGCTGGGGCTCGAAGGAACAATGTGGGCCTTCAGACCACCACCACGGCCGCGCGCGTGGGGCGCAGGCGACCTCTTTCATTTTCAGCTTGAGCTCCTCCATGAACTCGGCCGACGGCCCGCTCGGGGCCGGAGGCCTTGCGGAGAGGGCACCACACCGTGGACTTGTGTTGGCCCATCGTGATGATGATGATGATGATAATAATAATGATAATGATAATAATAATGATGATGATGATGCTGATGATGATGATGGTGATTGTGATGATGCTGGTGGTGATGATGACGATCAGGATGCAGGTGGCGATGACGATGGTGGCGATGGCGAGGCTGACAACGATGATGAATATGACGATGGAGGGGGGACCGCGGATCCACCAACGGGGGGGCACCTTTCGGGACGGCGAGGTGCTCCGCGAACGGGTTGCACCTGTGAGCGGGTCTACCACCACCACACGTACCCATCCCAATGCCATAGCCACCTGTGAAGCCGCTGGAGCCGCCGAACACCCAGGCCAAGGGCACCATGGTACGACGGATACATAGCCACCTCAGATGCAGAACGCGCCGAACACCCAGCACAAAGCGTACGAGCGCACGAAAACGGAAAACTTTCTCATTCAACCAGGCTCTGAAGATGGGTCTAACGGAACTGCAGAATTGCCACATTCACGGAGGCAACATGCCGCAACAGCGACCTTCTCCTCGCTATGGTGGGGCGCCAGCTCGTACGAAGGAAAAACGACAACCGAGATTCTCCTGCCCACACAGCCGATGTGCGAACCCTCTACGGCTACAACGTACCGCTCCAGAGGTCCACCGGCCAGGTGTAATGACCACGCATCTTATCGAGGTTATCATCGGTGTTGTCCTCAGAAGCTCCATCTTCATCATATTATAAATCATCGCGGAAAATCAGAGCAATGGAGCAATGGCCGTACCAGCACCACGCTCCGAATCAATGGGTGACTTCAGCAGTCCAGCGCTTTCGGGAGACGCAGGCAGGACGTGCGACTACTCGGCCTCCGCTTGCTGAAAGTGCTGCGGAATCCAACGTCGCAGTACGTACATATACATAGACACCACGTGCACCAGTGATGCAAACGATTTCTCCACTGAGGTTACTTGTCGTTGCAAAACTGATCCGCATCGCGACAGAACTCCGCCACCGTAGGGCTGAGCCAGCTCCGCCCCATGAGGATAAGGAAGATCGGCACCACGTTCACGCTGGGGCAGAATCGCACGAATGTCACTACATAGCTGCTCAAGGGCACTATGAACTGCGATGCCATCGCCCTCCATGCGGCGTTCAACGGCTGCACCACAAAGGTACATAACAATAGTCTGAAACTCCGTCTCACGAAGATGCGCAAGAAACTGCTCAACAACACGATCAGCATCCGGATGGGCAATGCCAACTCTTCCCGAAAACCGCTGCAACAATGAAACGACAATCGGCCCACGACTCGATATAGTCTCGTCATGCGCAACCCTGCATAATCCCACGATCATTTCGTGAAGACCCTCTCATCGAAGAAGCGCCGGAAGAAACGCCTCGCGACCTGATGCACAATCTCCACCGTCATCTTCACCACGAGGCTGCCCGTCGTCATCCAGTTCGCGGAACAGGACGTCAGCATCACCACAAGCTGGGGAAAAAAAGGGCTGCAGACGGATTGAATGGGAATGGTGGGACCTCAGACAACGGCCGTCGACACCGAGGAGCTTTCTGCGGCGGTCCACTCGAAGACCACGGGTCTCCAAAGCCAGCGTGCCAGGGGTCAGCACCACTTGGAGGCGGCTGTGGCTCATCAGGTCCTGGACGTAGACGGCGACGCCCACCTTGTCCGCCTATGCGATCGCCATCTCCCTGATCATCCCCACCATCATTTCTCGCCACCATCCTCGTCAGGATGGGAAGCAGCAGACGCAGAGGGCACAACTGTCTGAATCCAGCAGGCCACCTTGACCTTACCGTCGGAGTACTTGTGGCCCCTGTCCACCACCATGTTGCCGATGATGCGAGCCGCCACCACCTCCAGGCATTGCATGATGAGCTCGCGCATCAGGTCGGATGCAGGGGCGCAAAGCTACCACAAGGTGCATTTGACCTTGCAACTCGTCGCGTCAAAGGCGGAGCCGACATGCAGGGGCGGCCGCGCGCGCGGCGCGAGGGGGAGGGGGAGAGGGGAGGGGGCGCCAGGGCGCCTCGGAGCCCGGTCCAGGCCACGGCCGGATCGAAGGGCTTATGATGAGTATAACGATGATGATGGTGTTGCTGATGATGCTGTTGCTGACGACGATGGTAGTGGTGATAATGATGATGAAGATGGTGATGGTGATGGTGATGCTGATGGTGATGCTGATGACGACGATGATAACGATGATGATGTGGATGATCATGTTGATGAGGTTGATTGATGATGCGGATGATCATGTTGATGAAATTGATGATGATGGATGGTGGTCATGACAATGCTGATGATGGTGATGATGATGATGAAAATGATGATAACGATGCTGATGATGATAATGATGGTATGTGTGTTCACTGCTCGATGTGTCAATGTCCTTCTTGCGCAAAGGTCGGGCTAAATTACTCTGTACGTTTTCAATCTACAAAGATGATCCCCGAAAAGAATACGTGACGATGATATGTTCCGCGAACGCGCTTCCCAAGCGAGGCTATTGAGCGATGCCAGTGAGTGAAGCCCGAATGTGTACCTCTCTGTCACTGGCTCATGCAGGCAAGAACATTGGAAGAACACATCATCACCATCAGCATCAGCATCACCACCACCACCATGAATTGTGAATTCGTTCGCTCGTGGCCCATGGCACGGTCATGGCGACATGTTGCGTCACGCTACATGGCGCGACGTCACTGCACACCGCACTGCAATACACAACGGTGCATCGAAACACAGGAAGCAGCGTTGCTGTGCACTTCACCTACGCCAATTAAAATACACCACGTTAAAAAACACCAAACCGGACCATGTGACACGCAAAAATGCTGCAACACATCCTACTCAACCACCGTATTGCCCCTCGGTACCATCGTGTGTGTACCGCGTGTGTGCGTGTTTGTTCGGTGGGGCTTCATATGAGTAGCACGGCCAGTAATGGCATCGCCGCCTGATGGCCCTCAATGGCTCTCTTGTGGGGGCGGAGCTCAAGAGTGATAGGATGGGGCCTCGCTGGCCACATGGCCCTCGTGGCATGCGTCTCACGGGAACACACAACCAGCTCGGCTGCGCGAGGCCGCGCGGTCCCGACCTTGGGCACGTGAAAAACTGATCGGGCAAGAACGGGGAGCGCTGGTTTCGTCCACTGGGCTCGTTGGGGGAAAAGAAGACCAGGATGATGGCGACGGCAGGGCGGCGGATGTCGTGGATGGCAGCGTGGATGACGAGGAGGGTAGCAAGAGGAGCAGAAGGACAACGAGTACGAAGACAAGCACGAGGACGAGGAAGAGATGGAGGAGGACGAGTACGAGAAGGGACGAAGCGTAGGAGGACAGGGAGGAGGATAATAATGAAGGACGACGACGACGAAGAAGGACCGTGAGGAGGCCGACGACAAGGACGTCGAAGAAGAGAGGGGTCCTCGTGATCTTCTGTGGCTACCTTGGGGGCTGTTGGGGCCGTCTGGGGCTATCTTTGGGCATTCTGGGGGCCTTTTGGGGGCCTGTCGGGTCATCTTGGGGGCTGATGTGGAATTCTCGGGCTGTCTGGGCAGGTCTCAGCGTTCTGTGGGGGCTCTCTCAGGCCATCTCGGCGTCATCTCAGCGCCATCTTGGGCTGTCTTGGGGCAGTCTCGGGGTCTGTTCGGGCGCTCTTGAGAGCCTCTGGGTGCCTTTTTGGGGGCCCATCCGGGCGGTTTTGGGGTCCCCTGGACACGTAGTGGAGTGCCCCGAGGCTCGAGCAGCTCTGCGAGGTGGAGGGCTTGTGGTTGCTAATGTTTCTTAAGAGCCCGGGCCCTCAGTCTCCCAGGCGGTCCCGGGCGGTGCCGGAGAGAGTCGCCTGAGCTTATGGGACGCCCAGAGAGCCCCAAGATGGACCAAGAGGACCCTAAGAGGTCCTAAAGACGGCCGAAGAGGGTCCCATATCGTCGAACGATCGGTCCAAGACGCCCAAGATGGCTGCCAGACGGTCGAAGATGCTCCCAAGACGCCCAGACCTCCGACAAGCCTCCCAAGAGGCAAAACTCCGTGCCACCTGGAAAGGTTTCGACGTCCTCGCCATTTCGGCTTCCCGACGCTACAGGACGGCCCAAGAAACCTCCAAGATTGCCCCAATGCGGCACAAGAGGCCTCATGGAGGCCCCCAGAACGGCCCGAGATGGCCCCCAAAACGGCGGGAAAGGCGCCCAAGACGGCCCCAGAGGCCCCCAAGGCAGATCCAAGAGGGGGCCCCGACGTGGGACCCCCACTGTAGGCCCCCAAGAAGCCGTCAACAGCCCCGAAGAGGCCCACAATAGGCCCCAGGGAAGCACCAAGAAGCTCCCAAAAGGTTCCCAAGACGCCCTCCAGAGGCTTCCGATAAGCCCCAAAAGTGCTCCCAAAATGCCCCCGAGAGCGCTCCCAAAAGAACCCAAGAGACATCCCTGAAGGCTCTGACCCGCAACCCAGGCACCGTGGCAGGATAAGGCCGAAGGACAATAGATACGAAGGGTTCGTACCTCCACTTTCTTAGGAGCCTCCATTGGGCCCACCCTGTCGGCGTGTGTGAGAAGTTTGTCCGTGTGAGTCGTCGGCATTGTCGCCGTCGCCGCTCCCCTTTCCCGTTTGAGTCGTCGTCGTAGTCGTCGTCGTCGTCGTTGTCGTCGTTGCCGCCGCTGCCGCCGCCGCCGTCTTGACGCGGCTTCAGACTGTCTGGAGGCGTCTCGGGTGGCGCCAGAGCGCCCCAAATCCAATATTGCAGGGTCTTGGGCCACTCAATTTGGAAGCATCTTCAGCTGTCCGGGAACGCTCTGGGTCCAAACGGGCCGCCGGTGGCCCCCGTGCCAACCCGTGGCCGCAATCCGACAACCCCCTATCACGGCCAAATCATATATGTATGCGTGTACACATGCTTGTAAGTTCTTGTATATGACACTACGTATCCATACATACATATATATATATATATATAGAGAGAGAGTGTGTGCACGCATGTGTGTGTGAGTGTATACATATACGTGCACATACACATACATATATATACACATCTAAACGTACGAATCGCACACACACACACACACACACACACACACATATAAGGTCGAGCTAGCTTTTGTTAGACGGTTCAAGTAAACTTCAATTCGGCGCACCCCACACGCACTTCGAGCCTCATAGGCCAACGAAAATCCATACTGAGCTCCCAAATCCGCTCGATTCCCCAAGAAGGACGTCAATACCACTCCAAAAGAAGCATTGCAACGAGTGGTACCGCCCCTCGTCGAAGCCGTACGCCCGAACACCTACTAATTGCGAAGGGCGTGCTCGTTTTCCGTGGGGTCCAGCCATGACTCCCGTATGTACCTCGTGGAACGCGCGAGCCGTGGCAAGCCTCACAACATGGGACTGAAAGAATGCCGCTGCAACTCCACTGTCCGAACCGTTGTTATCATGGCAAACGAGCAAGCGGAGGGCGCGCCGGCCTGATCGGCTTGGGCATCCCGGTAATCCTCGCCAGCGCCGCCGGCGGCCTCACGGCGCAACTCTCTGGTGAATTGGTGGCCCTGGGCAAACCCTGCAGCCTGAAAACGACACGGCCCAAAAATGGCGTCACCTTGTTCTCATGCGCCGAAACAAGTATACACTATACCCCAAATCACGTGGGGCCAGGCGAGGGTCCTGGTCGCGGGTCTGGAATACAACACTCCTTCCTGGGGCGTGGTCTGTGTATACTAAACGTGGCCCTGGGCGGTGGAATAAGACTGGGGCGGGGAGGGCGGGGCATACCACAAACAAATTCAGAATAAATTGTCGCACCAGCCCTCTGGGCGTAGGTGGTCTAGGGAGGTTCCTCTTCCAACCCGCTTCTTCCCCTTCGGGGAGGGGTTTATCACTGTTCCTATTAATATACACCCACTCCCCCAGGCGACCGGCAGCCAACCAGGAACAATGAAGACCCCATGAGGACCCCCCCAAACCAAACCCTGTCAAAAAACAATACGGACCATGCGCAACCGACCCGATGCGGGAGCCCCCCAACACCATACCTATCAAACAAAAGTACAAATTACACTTTGGGGCAAAATCTGGAGTCATATTCGTGAGCCCCGCGAGCACTTTGTATTGTTTTTGACATGGACGGCGGGAGTGTCAGCATATTGGCTGCTGTTCTCAGGGCTACCACCCCTGACAAGAAAAACAATACGAAATGCACCTCGCGGCTAAATCTGGACCATGCGCGGACACACCGCGATCACTTCCAAGTGGTCTTTGACAGGGACGGCGACGGTGGTGGCGTATGGCCTGCTGTGCGCAGGCCTACCAGACACAATGATGGGCATTGGTTTTCGACAGGGGTGTTGGGGTCGACATGGTTCCCGATGTGTGCGAAGAACGCTCCAAAACAGCTCCAAGAGGCCTCCGAGACCTCCAAGGAGGCCCCCAAGAGGCCAATATCCCAAAAAACATAAAAACATCACAGATTGTTGCATCGTCGCCCGTTCGCTTTCGATAGCCGTCTGAGGCCTCAAGATGGCTCCAAGATGATGGCCTAAGAGGGCCCCAGGAGAGGCCCAAGAGAGCCCCAAGACGGCCCCAAGAGCGCCAAAGAGCGCTCCAAGAAGGGTCCAAGAGAGGTCCAAGAGGCGATTTCAGGGGCTTCCGAGAGGGGAGACTGATTGCGACCATCCCATCTTTGATCGATGTCCTCCAAGATGGCCCAATAGCGCCTCAAGCCCCCGAGAGCGCCTCAAGAGGGCCTCAAGAGGCGCCAAGCAGGCCCCAAGAGGCGCCCAAGAGGCCTCAAAGAGGCTCCTAAGAGACCCCCTCGAGGCCCCAAGAGGCTCCCCGAGGTACGCAAGAAGCCAGGGACCGCCAAGAGGCCCCCGAGACGCCCCAACAAGCCCACAAACTCGCCATTGTCCTCCTTCTCCTCCTCCTCCTCCTCCTCCTCCTCCTCCTCCTCTTCCTCCTCCTCTTCTTCCGTCTATTTCTCCCCCTCCCTCCTCCCTCCTCCCCGACCTCCTCCTTCTCCTCCTCGTCCTCCTCCTCCTCCGCATTATCCTCCTCCTCCTCCTCCTCTTCCTCCTCGTCCCCCTCCTCTTCCTCCTCGTCCTCCTCCTCTTTCTCCTCTTTCTCCTCCTTCTACTCCTCATCCACCTCGTTCTTCTTCCCCGCTTTCCATGCCGCGCAAAAATTCGCCGGCCCAACTGGCCAAGGGCGTGCTGAGATATCAGATGACTGGTTAGCTCACGCGCGCGGGGCCGCCCCTGGGGGTCCCCGGACGAAAAATACCCTCGCAGAGTCACGGGTAGGTCCCGGGAAGGGCCCCGGGAACAGGTCCCAGCAGGCTCCCAAGAGCGCTCCAGGAGCGCTTCAAGTGGCCTCCAAGAGAGCTCAACATGGCCCGAGACGGCCCAAGAGCGATCCAAGGCGCCAAAGATGGCCTCCAGACAGCCCAAAGCGCCTTCAAGACGCCCCAAGAGGCATCCAAGAGACCTCCAAAGAGGGTCCACAGGAGACAGAAATTAGCCCATGAGGCCTCCGAAAGCGCCCAAAACAGTTCCAGAGGGCCCCAAGACAGCCCCAGAGGATTTTAAGATGGCCGAAGAGGCTCCCAAGACGGCTCCAATAGCGAGCCCAGACGAGGGACCCGAACGGACATTTCAAGCTCTAGGCGCAGAGAGGTCCCCTGGAGGCCCCAGGAGGCCCCCAAGAAGCCCCCCAAAGGCCCCCGAGAGGCCCCAAGAGACCCCCAAGAGGTCCTCAAGAGGCCCTCGTGACGCCCCAGGAGGTCACAGAAATGCCGACGAGAGGCCCAAAAAGAGGCTCCAAGGGGCCCCCAAACGGCCTCCAAGAGGCCACGAACGCGCAGGCAAACGCCTGCGATGGCACAGTACAGGAGGCCACAAGGGGCCCAAGGAAGCCACAGGAAAGCCCCGGAATCCCAAGGGGAACGAAAGAGGCTCCAGGAAGCCTGCAGGAGTCCCAGGGAGCCTCTAGAAATTCCAGGAAGCCCCAGGGAGCTTCTAGGGGCCCCTCCCGCGCGCCCGAGCGCCGACCCGTCGCCCAAGGAGTCCGCCTGTGGCGCCGCGCGCCGACCGCAGCCTTGGACACTCCGCTCCGAGACTGCCGCCGACGCGACGCGCGAGCCGCCGAGCATGGCACCACGCGCGCGCGGCACACACACACCCTGAGAAATGCTTAAGAAATCATGGGTTAAGAAATTCATAGTCTCAGAACTTGGATAAAAGCCCAACATTTCTATGAACCTCTTAGGATTTGCATGGAAACGTTAAGAATAATCGAGACTCTGGCCGAAAACTTAAGTTTTCTTAAGCATCGCCTAAGGTGTACTCCATCGAGCCTGACATGCGCTATCTTTGAATTGCAGAACGAAGCCTCGAGCATCGCAAGACCCCGCGCGCCGCGAGGGCGCCTGGTGTCGCAGCGAGGCACCACCTCCTTGGCACAGCACGACCCCACGGAAAAAAACGCATTCCGAAACAACCACCGACGCGACGCGCGAGCCACCGCGCATGGCGCGACGCGCGCGCGGCACATAATCAGTCGAGCGACACATGCAGTATACTTGCGTTGCAGAACGAAGCCTCGAGCAGTGCAAGACCCCCGCGCGCAGTGAGCGCGCCTAGTGTCGCAGCGAGGCGCAACCTCCTTCGCATAGCACGACCTCCCAAACGAAAAACTCGCTGCAAGACCGCCACCAGCGCGACGCGCGAGTCCATCCCCGCGCGCTCCAACGCCAACAAGTCGCGCACGGCGTCTCCCGGACGCCGCGCGCCGACCACACCGCCAAAAATCGCACTCCGCTGCCGATGCGGCGCGTCTGCGCCCGACGCATGGCGCGACGCGCCCGACAATTGAGACATCGCGTAGCGACGAGCGAGATTTCAATCACAGCGCGAGGCACCGACACCCATAGTCGCACAGCGAGATTGATGCGGATGCGACGCACGCCATCTCCCTCCCTTGCACAGGGGCGCCGTGGGAGTAGAGGCGTTGCCGGGGGAGAGAAAGCGTGTGAAATGATTGGCTGTCCCCCCTCCCCTCTTCCCCCTCCCCCACCGCCCAGAATCTCGTCAAAAGAGGGGGGGGTATCAGGGCTCCCCAGCGAACTCCCAGAGACCCCAGAGCTTCTAAATCTGCTTTCTGTAGCCCCACAGACGTTCCACAACGGCCCCGAATCGCGGAACGCTTGGCCCAAGACGCCTTCGATGGTTCCAAGATGCCCCAAGACGCCATCAAGACGACCCAAGGGTCTTCCCAAGAGGGCCCCAAGAGGCAAAAACACATGGTTCCCCAATTGTTTCATTGTTTCGAACTTCCGACGCTCTCAGACGGCCCAAGAGGCTCCGTAGACCGTCCAAAAACTTCCTAAGAGGCCGCCCAAGAGGCTTTCAAAACGGCCCAAGGAGGGTCCAACACGGCCACAGATCACCCCAAGAGGGCCCCAAGAGAGGCCAACAGGGAAAACAAGAACCGAGCATTCAATCTTTCCGCCCCGAGGTACCCCCCCCCCACAGGCCCCAAGAAACCCCAGGCGGCCCCCCAAAAGCCCCCAACAAGCCCCAAGAGGTTCAGGAGGCCAAAACGTGCCCCTAAAACGGGCCTCCAAACGCTACTCCAGATTTCGTAATAAAGGAAGGGAGGTCTCATTTCGAGGGGGGTCTCTTCCAGGCTATCTTGGAGTGCCTGGGGGGTCTGGGGACGATGTTTTGGAGGGTTCTCCCACGGGGGAGGTCTGAAATGGCTTGTCTTGGAGGGTCCATACCCCCTCCCTGTTATTACGAAATCTGGAATACAAAACTGCATCCAAGAGGCTCCGCCAGGCCCCAAACAGCTCCCAGAACGCCCACAACAACTCCAAAATACTGCCCAAGAAACCCACGACGCTTCAACCGTGGACTCCCGCCTCTTCTGGGGGTCGGCGGAATTATGTGAACCTGTTGAATCAAGGTGCGCCGTGGGGGTAGAGGGCGGACTCCCAGGAGAGCCCAGAATCGAATCGACAAATCGGATCGGCGATCGAAATGAATCGGATCAGCGGAAATCGGCCGCCGAGTCGGGAAGAGTCGAATCGGCGGAAATCGGCAGGCCAGTAGGCCTCCATTGAGACATCGGAGCCCAAATCGGAATCCGACGTCGAATCGAATCGGAATCGGAAGCCTTTGAAATCGAATCGAATCGAATCGCATGAAGCGAAACGAGCCCTGGGAATCCACTCTCGGGCGCAGCCGAAGCAGGTGTGGATGACTGGGACATGAGGGGCAACGATTGGGGGGGACTGGCATAAAGGGGGAAGGACGTCAACCTTGAATCGGCGATACATCTCCGACAGATCGGCAATAGGCTTCCGATCGTGAATCCGCACGTTCCTGGGCAGGTTGGAGCGATTGGGCCTCTGTCGGCGATCAGTGGGCGAATGGGGGCCGATGCATCCCCCACATGCCCAGCCCCCCCTGTCGTTGCCCCGAAGGGCACGAGCACTGCGAGCGCACACGGGAGCATCCCAGCCCCAAACAATCCTGCTGGGGGGCGGACCGCCGCGCGCCGCCGCGCCCAGCGCGGCTCTGCTTATGCCCCGCACCGAACCCTGGAGCCTCCGTCGCTGCGAGGGCCGCTGTACGTCCCGGAAACAGCAACAACAGAAACACTTGAGCAAAGACCGACCGACCGCCCCGGAAATCCTGGAGTCCTACCATGACAGGTTCTGGAAATGCTCTAAGAACACAGCAGGGGTCTTAGACCATACAGCCAACGTATTGAAACAAGACGGTCACGGCCAGAGCTGTGCTGCGGTAATCTCGTGCTCGTGCAGACTCCAAAAGGCTCTTCAACATTTTGCTGGTAGGCATATAGGCAGGCGTGGACGCTTCGCCACTGCTTGAAACACAACGGCCCACTTCCCCGGGAGACACGGTCTGCAGCAACTCCGTTCTCAGGGGGGCTTGCTCCAAGTGCGTCCATATTTGCGTTTCTGGAGTAGGCCCTCCTGGCCTGGCCAAGAGGTCGGTGTACACTCCGATCTTGCGCCCGGGATCGGCCTGGCCGGAAGCAGTGTAGGTGTCGAGGGGAAACGTTGGGGGGGGAGGACCAGCTCGAGGGGGCAGCATTGACCTGGCATCGGCGGTGCGTCGTCGGCGATCGGCCCCCGATAGCGAATCCGCATGTCTGGGGGGTGACCTCAATGGGGGCTGGAGAAGAGAGCCCTAAAAGAGCCCCGGGGGGCCCTTCTCCACCCCCAATCTGAATCAGCCCCAGTACCACCCGCCCGAATGTTCCTGGCCGGGAGAGGGGACTATCGGGCCCCTCCTGCCGATCATTACACGATGGGGAGTCGATGCTTCCCTCCCCTGAGCCTTTCCCCCGAAAGTTGCCCATGAGTGGTGGGGAGGTGGAAGATTTGCATTCCCTCCCCAGCCCCATGCAGGGCCACCAAAGGCCTGGGTGTCGCAAATATACGGTCACGCCCGGTCTTCCGGAGATACACTGAAATACAACCATTTCGGCCTGGACTCACAGCGGGGCTGGCATTCCCAGAATCGGATCCAGTGCCATTGCGCAACCCTCCTCTCCGCCCCTTAGCTTCTGCCACCCACTCCCGCCCCCTGTCCAATCACGGACTCAGAGGCGGTTGCCTCTTCCTCCACATTCCCATTCTCCCGTCCACCTCCTCCTCCTCCAATCCGCCGAAACTGCTCTCGCGAAGACGCCTACTCAAAGTCCGCCCGGGCGACACTTGAAAGAGAGCACCCACGCAGACACCCCTAACCTCTGGCCATCCCTGGCGCGGATCCTCCCAGCCCGCCCGGGTCTGCCGCCTCTGCACGAGGGGGGGCACCACCAGGGATCCACCGCCACCGAGCTGGGGCACCAAGGAGCGCTTCAGCTGCGCCAGCACCTGCGGGCAACCCCTACGAAATGAGTCGGGCGTTCACATTTGATTATGTGTAGAAGTACTTATACATATTCATACATTATATATTGGTATATGTGTGCATACACATATACATACATGCATGCATGCGTGTACACATACATGTATACGTGCGTGCGCATAACTATAACTATACACATAGTACACATACATGGACATACACATATGTATATATGCATATGTATGCACAGACCTATATACGTGCAAACATATACACGCGTGCATATGCATGTACATATACACATGCATACACTCTACATATACACATACATGTACATACACATGTGAATATACACATGCAGATACATATATACATATATACACACATACGTGTACGTATGCATGCACCTACATACCTACACGTATACACAAACAACGATGCATGCATGCATATGTACGAACGTACATGCATACATGTGTACATACAGGCACGCATGCATACATACAGACATGGACACATACAGACAGGCATGCAGACATACATACATACAGACATAAACACATACACACATGCATGGTCAATGCATACATCTATACACACATACGTACATACATACACGCATACACGCACACACATACAAACGCATACATACATGCACACCTCTATATATGTTTATATGCGTATATGAATAAACACGGCGCACACGGCGCACACGGCTACCCCGCGGCGAATAACACAACTTTGGGACACATGGGTGCAACGTCTGGTTTGCGACTCGCGTCGGTGCGGACTCGTTACCAACATAGGTACTGCATCTGTGAAAAAAAAACGACACCGATGTCAAAATCTCTATATCCATGATGAATACATGTACCTGCATATGTATCCCAATACGATCGTCGCACGACCACTCCATCAATCCCACTACCACAACTTCAATCGACCTTCTCATCTGTGAATATCACGATCAATATCCTCCACGGTTAGAATGCTCGTCCGTTGTCTGGGAGGTTGTTTTTAATTGTGCTTTCTTAGGGCTGATCCCACTGGTAGCGGGCAGCCAATGCGGCTCTAGCCTTCGAGCCAGGCGCGATGGCAGGTCAGGCCAAAGGCCACTAGATAGCGAGGGGAAGCAGGAAGAGACGGAGCAAATAAAGGGGTGACATGGCGAGCAAGGTGAGAAACGTAGGAAGACGAGACGGAACGAGGAGGTGGAGTAAACGCGGATCGGATCCCAGAGGAAAGACTACATATAGAAAGGACGCTAAGACCGTGCAACAAACACTAAACGACGCCTAAACACCAAAACGCCAACTCAGGTTTACGAGAGGCTTCCAGGATTACGCTAAAAACTCAGAAAGCAGCTCACCGACCAGCGCTTGCAGGGAAGGGGCCCTAGCCGAGACTGACGGAGCAGGCACAGGTTGCGGTGCCGGTTTCGGTGGGCGGCCAGGGCCTCAGACTCCTGGCTCTGGGCCGATCCGGTGGGCGGCTCTCTTCCTGGACGACCGGTTCCGAATGCAGGGCTGCTGGCACGGGAAGGTCCCGAGTTCCTCCAGGTGCCTGCGATCGGGGGGACAGGATGGGGAGAGAGCATCGTGCAGAGCAGAGAAGACACAGCTCGGAGCGGAGAGCATAGCTAGACAGAGAGGCTGGCGAGTCCGCCGATCCCCCGCCTACCAAGGTCGACGAGGCGTGTCGGACATTGGGTGGTCCCCCTCCCCCTTCGCTGCTGCCCAAAATCCTGTTCGAGGGGGGTGGGGCCGTGGGGGAACGAGTTCCTGAACGCACCTCCGGGGGCTCTCGGACCTCTTGGGCCGTCTCGGGGCCGTCTCTGGGGCCTCTGGGCCCTCTTGGACCGTCTTGGGGCTCTCTTGGGGGCCTCTCGGGCCATCTTGGGCGGTCTCTGGGGCCTCTGGGGCCATCTTGGAGCGTCGAAGCCCGAAAACGCGAGAACGCGAAAAACATCGAGAGTTGTCCCCCAGACAGGCTCAGACCCCCAAGAGGCCCAGAGACGGCTCCATAGGGCCCGATGAATACCGAAAAGGCGTCCCAAACTGCCAAAAATACCATCACGAGGGCCCCAACAGGAACTCGCGACGACCCTGGACGCCCCCCCATACATAATCCCAACGCCCCCAACATCCCCGCAAAAGGCCACCAATCAGCCGCTAGGGGGTCCCCAAAACCGCAGTGCGCCCCCCAAACCGGCATGCACATGAATCCCATCATGAAAACGCACACGAATCCCGCAGTGGCAAGCACACTAATCCACGCGTGCCGCGCCTCCTTCGGGTCCGCGACTCCAGGCGGTGGCATGAGGAGGGGCCTCGGGGCCTGCAGCGGCTGCCAAGATGAGAGATAATAGCCGTCCCTCCGTTTGCTGCTCCGACTGATCCTTTCCCATGTGGCCCTCCCTACTACCACGGCTGCAGTCCCCCATGCTACTCCACCTGCTGCACCTCCTGGTATTGCTGTTGCTGTTGCTGTTGATGTTCCGCCTTTTGCTCTCCCTCCGCCTCCCCCACTCCCCCTCCTTCCGTTCGCCCGTCTGCCCCCTCCCCCCTCTCTCCTGCCCGCTGTTGCATCGGGCGGATGGTACTTGCGAGTCCCCTACGCGACGACGAGGGCACACTTATCCGCAAATTCGCAGCGATCCGCACGATTCCCCAACAGGTCGAAGGTACACGGGTTCATCCCGACCCCCTCGGTTCCAGGAGGCGGGACAGAATGAGAGAAACAGGGGAGCAACACCAACGACTAAATGGGGGGCACTGTACGCACTAAGTCCGCTCATGACAGCCATCTGTTTCCCGGGCACGATGACGACGGGCAAGGACCTTCAGAAATAACGCAGATGCATCCGCAAAAAGTTGGCACTCGGTTGACCTACGCGGGCGTGTTGGGATGCCCGCCCAAGGTTTTCAAACCAGGCGTTGTTCGAAACGGCGCCCGCGAGTTGGCGTAAGCTCCCCGCTTATGAGGTGCGCAATTGCCCACGTTGTTCAGCCCATGCGAGAATTGTTCGCGACGGGGGCGGGGATCACCGGATAGCGCATCAGCGGGGCAGCATGGACAAGAAAACAACACCACAAGCAGTCCTGTTATGCTCCTCGAACCAATAATCTAAGAAAGTCCCATACAATCCGCCAACGCGTAGCATTGTTGCACCCTGTTTGAAACCTGCCGTGTGTCAGTGTTCATTTGGCGCTCCACTCGGCTTGTTTGTGCCCCGCGTGCACCCCGGTAGCACCTGGCTAGTATTCGTGAGTCGAATCGCAGGACGTCCGCCGCGCAACGCTCATTTCGTTGCCGCGTGCACCTGGTTTCTTTTGCTCGTGCCCCGTTTGCACCCAGGGATGTCTGCCGGCGCGCAGCGGGCACCGCAGTGGGTACGCGGCGCGGGAACAGGAACAGGGGGGGCGGCATTCCTGGGGACATGGCTCCTGGACAGAGGATAGCGCCGCATCGACGATACATCGACGATGCATCGGCGATGCGTCGGTGATGCATCAGCGATGCACCAGCGATGCATCGTCGACGTCAGCTATGATTCGGCGACGTCGACGGGAAGCAAATCAGGCTCCACATCGAGCCGCATCGGCGATGCGGCGCGCTCCTCCGACCCCATCTACTCTGGCCTCATCTAGGAAGCTCAATACGCAAGGATGCGGAACTGCTGACGCCTCCACTTGCTGGCAACATGAACGACAAGACGCGGGCCCTGAGCGAGAAGCCTATCAAACTCAGTCAGCTTGCGGCGCCCGGATTTCTTCCCAGGGTCCGACCTCGATTGCCAGCAGCAGGGCCCGCCTAACACGACGCCGAACCAGCGCCATCGTCGCGCCCCACCTGGTCTGTCCGAGGGGGGGGGGGGGGGGCGAGCACCAGTCCCGGGGCCCATTGCGCCGCGATCCTCGCCCAAACGTCGGCGATTGCATTCCTCAGGCACAAAAAGATGCCGCATTTATCCTTGACCAACCTGAAACCGCGTTCTGTGTTCGGGGGCATCCAGAGCACAGACGCCCCCCCCAGGCCGCAGGAGACCCGCGGCGCGAGCGATTCGCATCCGCGGGCCCCCATTCGATCCCCGAGGGGCCTACCAATGACAAGGCTCGCGCAGTCGGTGGCGTAGCGAATCCGTCTGACGGAGTGCTTCAGGGCTAGATCGAAGCTTGCAACTCCGCGCGCGGCACGGTCTGGCGCCCACCAACGAAGACCTGGGAACTCCACGGCTCGGGGCCCAGAGGTGCGGCGACAAAAACTCCTGACGCATCGCCGAGATCGCCGAGCCGCGTAGCCTTCTGCAGGCGCCCCTATTGGACTCGCCCCCAGGAGCCGCCTCTGGAAATCAACAGGAGGGGGCATCCACCGCCCGAGCATCTGTCCCTGACCGGCCCCGAGCCCAGAAGGACCTCCGCATCCGCCTCAGGGGCCTCGACAAACATGGGCGCAGCGAGGTCTCGGGGAGAACTCCTCGGAGCCAGACCGGTCGCCGCGCCTCCAGAGGCGCCGTTGCCTAGAGCGCCAAAAGATCTGCGACTGAAACATCCTCGTGCCCGCAGTTCTTCACAGGTTCAGGCCCCGTGGCCAAAAGGCTCCCCAGGTGCCCCCTGCAACGTGAGCAAGGCGTAGGACAGGGGCAGCCGGCGGCCATCGCCGGCCCCTCGCCCAGCCCGACCACTTCTCGCGAAGCGGTCCAGCTCGCCGCTTATCAGACGCGCGCCCACGCCATACTCCAAGTCCTCACCTGCAACGCGCTGCGATGCTGGGCCCCTCTGCGGAGACAGGCAATCATCCATGAACGCGCCCGGCTTGTCCTGGAGATGCGCAAGCGCTGCCGCGTCGTGCCGATCATCGCCGTGGCGGGAAGAGGCAGTCGCCCATCGCGCCGCCGTCAAGCAGCCTCGACGCGCGGGCGACGCGGGTCGCAACCAGCCCGGATGAGCGCCGCGCACATGAGCCCACTAGACTAAGACCCCGTTGATCGGTCGGCCAGGCCTTCTCGATGCGGGGGCGGAGGGGCAGCTGCGACCGCCAAGACGACATCCATTCCATCAACATCTTCTTCCCCGCGTCGACGCCAGGCTCGGACGCGCGCGCCGCGCCGGGCGGAGGTCGCGCGCCGTCCGCGCTTGGGGCCAGCGACACTTGCAGCGGCGCCCCTTCGCATGGCCAGCAAGGCCCTCGGCGGTGCCCCCCATAGTTTGGCGGTCGGTGGCCGTGCACTCCCGCGTTCCACAACTTCTTCGCGATTGAACGACTGTGGTCCAACTTCGCGATCCCCATCAACCTCCCTTGCCGCAGGCGCGCTCGAGCTCTGCCCGAGACCGCCGTGGCGCGCGCGCGCGACGTCTCAGCGGCCGCGCGCGAGCCCAAACGAACTTTCGCCTTCGCGAACTGCGCCGGCGCGTCTCTGGCCGCGGGGCGCGCCTGCAGCTCTGTTCTGGCGTTGCCCGCGCTCGCCGCCAATTTTGTCTTTGCAAGGGCGTCGGACCTGAGCTTCCTCAGTCCGACAGCCGCGGCGTCTGCCATCGCTTCTATCTCATCTGCGAATATCCGCGCGGGGCCCTGTTCTGCCAGCGACGTCGCCGATGTAGCTCCAGGGCCTGGCGGGGGGGCGGGGCCCCTGGGCGGCGCCCAAGCAACTTATGCAACCCCGCCAGAGAAACTCCATGTCCAGATCCCGCGACGATGCATCTGGCGACGCCGTCCGAAATCAGCTGCTCCTTTGCGAGCAACCTCTGCGCGGCGCGCGCGTCAATCCCAAGCGGCGTCGCGATGGGGGGACCTCGCGCTGACGTAGGATGGTCGAATCCGCAGATAGAGCCGCGCGCCCGAGCCACAGCGCCGTCGATCCTTCGCCCAGCGGGACCCTGAATCCCACCAGCCCTCTGGGCGTCGGTGGTTTAGAGCGTTTCCTCTTCCACCCCTCCTTCTTCCCCTTCGGGGAGGGGTTTACCCCTCCCCCCACTCCCTCCCCGCTGACCTGGACAGGGGCTTCCGCGGCGCGTTGGAGCGCCCAAGATGGCCCAAGACGGCTCCAATAGGGCCTCAGGGAGCCCAAGATGCCCTCCAAGATGGCTCAAGATAGCGCAAGATGCCTCAAGATGGTCCCCATGATTTTCCAAGACGTTCCAAGAACTCTCCAAGACGGTTCCAAGAGCCCACAAGAGCATCATTAGGATGCATCCACGAGGCCAAAATGCTTCAAAACCCTAGGGACATCAATGTTTCTGGCGTTCTCACTTTTTCCCCACATCCAAAGTGGGGTTCTTGTTTTCTCTGGACACCCCGCGCAGGAACCGGAACACACACGCACACACACACACACACACACTCATACTCACTCACACTCTCTCATCATCAACCTCATCAGCATCATCGATGATGCTCTCTCACATGCTTAGTCACTCACATACTCATCATCATCATCATCACTCGCGCTCTCTCACACGCTCACGAACATCATCATCATCATCATCATCATCATCATCATCATCATCATCGGCATCGGCATCATCCTCATTCAAACATCATCATCGCCACCACCACTCACAATCAATCATCATCCTCTTCACCACTCATCTTCACCACCACTCATCATCCTCATCCTCATCATCGTTGAGTAAATTGTGAGGAAGTCTCAGGCGGGAGCCCCCTCCCTATGGGGCCCGCAGATCATGTTGGTAATCCGAGCGGGTCATCGGAACCCTGTAACTGTCGTCACTTTTGGGCTCCCCAGGCCTGAAAATGGAGGAAGTCTCAGGCGGGAGCCTCGTCTGTGAGTGAATTGGGAGGAAGTCTCAGGCGGGAGCTCCCTCCCTATGGGGCCCGCAGATCATGTTGGTAATCCGAGCGGGTCATCGGAACCCTGTAACTGTCATCACTTTTGGGCTCCTCAAGCCTGAATGTGGAGGAAGTCTCAGGCGGGGGCCTCGTCTGTGAGTGAATTCTGAGGAAGGCTCAGGCGGGAGCCCCCTCCCTATGGGGCCCGCAGATCATGTTGGTAATCCGGGCGGGTCATCGGAACCCTGTAACTGTCGTCACTTTTGGGCTTCTCAAGCCTGAATATGGAGGAAGTCTCAGGCGGGAGCCTCGTCTGTGAGTGAACTGCGACGAAGTCTCAGGCGGGAGCCCCCTCCCTATGGGGCCCCCAGATCATGTTGGTAATCCGAGCGGGTCATCCAAAACCTGTAACTGTCGTCAATTTTGGGTTCTCGCGCTGCCAGAACGCAGCTCCCAGGCCACATTTCGGACGCAACAAGGAAGTTTTTGGGCTCCTCAGGCTTGAATTTGGATAAAGTCTCAGGCGGGAGCCCCGTCTCTGAGTGAAT